ACGCTAAGGCGTTGCTTTTCCAGTCGCGCCACCTTCTCCTCAGGCGTCTCGGTGGCCTTCTTGACGCCAGGGCGTTGCTTTTCCAGTCGCGCCACCTTCTCCTCAGGCGTCTCGGTGGCCTTCTTGACGGCGCGGGCAGTGGCTTGGCTAAGGCGTTGCTTTTCCAGTCGCGCCGCCTCCTCCTCAGGCGTACAGTGCACGCGGGCGATTTGGTAGGCTACAGATGGCGTGCACTGTATCGGCCGTCGAGAAGGCGACCGAGACGCCCGACGAGAAAGCAGCTCGGCTGGAAAAGCAGCGCCTTGGCAAAACCACTGCGCGCGCCGTCGGGAAGGGCACCGAGACGCACGAAGAAAAGGTCGTGTGGCTTGAAGATCGCAGCGTCGAAAAACTTTACCAAGCACCCAAAACTAGCGATCGCAGCCTTTCACCTCTACTCGGGCAACTCCGACGCTCATGTGTGCAACGACGAGTCACTCAACGGCCCCGGTGGTCACGCAGTTTGCGAGCGCATCTTGCGAGCTGTTGGGGATGCAGTCGGTCAGGCAGACGCTGCACGCTGTCAGGAGACGCCAGCAAGATGCCGGATCCGGGCGCATCGCTGCATGTGCCTCGTGCAACGAGGCACTCTACGAATGCGAAGATCAGATTGTTGACGCGGGGCCTGTCGAACACCTACCCACAGTGTTTCGCCTTGATGACTTCCAAGTTGCTCGGCTGCCGCGCGACAGCAAGCTCGTCGCCGAAGTTGTGGCGGTGCTCCGCGTTGATGGTGTGCACTATCATCTGAACCCAAGCCTTGTCCCAGACAAAAGCAACGTCGTGGTGTGCTCGACATGCGCCAAGATCCCGACTGCAGGGTCTCGCAACGTTGCGCCCTTCAGTATCGCCAAGGGCCACGACTACTGGCGGTGCGAGACGTTGCCAAAAATCAGCGACGCTACCTTGCGGGCTATCACAGCTGCTCGTGCGCACCATATTAACCTTCTTGTGCAACCGCCCACTGCATTTGCTTTGTTGCGGATGGGTCGATCCAAGTCGCCAAGATTTTGCCGGAAGTCACGGACGGGCGACGGTTCCATGTGACGTACGTCGGACCACACGAGAAGTGCGATGAGACGCTCAATTC